GGTGCTATGCAGAGCGGAATAATGTTATGATAATATAACTTTCTTCCCTACATGCTTTATAAGCGCTACGCAATCCTTTGAAGTGAAGGAATACGATAATTTGATGGGTTTATGTATGGTTGAGCAAGTAGATATGCAAATAAGTATTATTGTTTTTTAAGTAGGAATTTGGTGCTGTGGCTGCATATTGAATGCAGCGCAGTTCTCTTCTTCAATTTGGATTGTTTCTCTGAATATTTAACTTTTCTGTTGATTGATTATATATAAAAATACAATACTGCTAAATTCTATATGACTGTCTTCAAAAATTTCTATTGTATCAGATCAAGAAATTTGAAATACAGGGGAGGCCCAGTGAAGGGTAAGGTCATATTGTTAATGGCTACTAGTGCTTAACATTAATTAACCCTTTTAAACAGCTTTTGTAAAAAATTACTTACAGATAAGTGATGTAGAAGAGGATAGCAAAAGTCTCCACTGGTGACCCATCGATAGCGATGAAATGATAGTCCATCTATCACGAAGAACAAAATAATAACTTAAACAATAATAAAATTATTCTATAAAATAATGGAATAATAATAATAATAATAATAATAATAATAATAATAATAATAATAATAATAATAATAAGTGCTGTACAAATTATCCCAGTGCACATTTTACTAAACTGTATTTAATCTTTTTTTGCTAAAAAAAAAAAATATATGTATTGAAAGGTTCAAAACCTAGCTGAGTGAAAAGCTTATTTGCACATCAAAAGCAAATATTTTTGGGGTATTGGACATCAAAAGCAAATACTTTTGGGGTATTGGACATAAAAGCTTGAATTAACTCGCTAATCTTCTATATTTTCTTGTATTAATAGACACCTATTTTTACTGCTTCCAGTATTTGACACATAGGCCTTGAATGCCTTAAGAATCCCATTATTTTTATCATTTAAATTTATTCCTTGCTTATGCATTACAATTGTGTCCTTAAACAAAACTAAATTTTATATCTGATTTTAATAAAATGTTTGTATTCTATACAAAGTTGTTTTACTATTCACGGCAGGGGTACCCAAGCCTCCTGCAAGAGAGGAATATTCTGGAAACCAACATAACCTCCCACACCCGTGTCAGCCTGGAAACTAACTCATTTCATGTACATTTTGAATGCTTGCATTTTTTTACTACTAGATGTATTATGAAAGCTCATAAAAACCAGATCTCCAAAATGGATTCTGCACACTTGAAAATCATTACGATATGAGTAGAACATACTCTGAAAGTGAGAGTGCTCTGTGATTGTATTTGATTTCCTTTGCTTTCCAAACTTAAAAATATGTCTACAGTACATCACTACTACAGTATATACAATGTGTATTATGTTCACTGAGTTAAGTACTATTGTATTTAAATCTCACCGCATGAAAGAAGAGTGTCATGGTCTTGAGAATAATCAAAGCCAGCATGATGAAATGTATTTTAAAGATGTTCTCATTGTGGGTCACTAAATAGTAAAGCCAGAGCCCAGCTGATAGGAAACACAGCATCGACATGGTGAAGTAAACAGGAGGCAGGAAGATATCACCAGCCGATAGGTAGTTGAGCTTATCAGAGTATCGATTCATCTCAATGATGTTAATCTGAGGAAGAAATCAAGTAGGTAATTTAGTAGGAAGCACAAGAATTAAATTGTGACCTTCATAAAACAAAAATCCAAGGAGAGAGAACTTATCTCAAGCTGATCTTTACCCCACTTTTACCTTTACCAAGCAGGCAAGACCTTGCTTATCATTTTTTAGTCTTTAATATTAATTGGCTGCTAAGTATTATGCTTGTGAAGAAAATATAATACCATAAATAATCCATGTCCTTTATGGAAAAATTAAAATGTACAAAGTTTACTTAGTGGAGAACATGGCATATGAGAATATGTCTAACAATTGAATCCTGACTGAAAATACATTTCTTTAGTCAAAACTGTTAGGGTGTTGACTACCCACTAACAAGTACTTTACACTTGTATTACAGTGCTATGCATGCCACAAAACTAATTGTTTTAGACAATGAATGCCTTTTGTAGTTTTAATTAAATATGCTGGCAGCGCATCAAGTCCAAATCAGTCAGTGTAGAGAAAAATTTAGTTCCTTTTTTCCTTCAAGTTTGCAGAAAATGTCCTATTGATAACTGACATGCTATCATGAATAGGACAAAATCTTACAATTCCATGTAGAGGACAATGTTTTGGTATACAAGCTACAAAAGCCCTGTATAAACTATCAAATTTTATTTGACAAAAACATGTGACATGTCTAAATATGGTCATGATGACATCACATCATGACCATATATAGGCATTTCATGACCATGTATGGGCATACAACAGTTCTTTGTAAAAGAAAATTCGGCAAGTTTTTTATGTGTCAAATGAGAATTCCCCATAGTTTATTGTTTTCACATGTTGTCATTTTTTGTCAGTTTCCACAGGAATTTTAGTAATTAAGAACCACAGCCATCTTAGTTTTTGGAGTGTATGTGTTCATAGTTTTTCGAATCGTATGCAAAATGATGTTTTCGTACAAAAAAATACAATATATGAGACTTGGGGTATGGAAGTTGATTGTTAAACAAGAGCAACAGCTCATCGGTCCGTGCGTTCCTCCATGCTTAAATATAGTATTGACGCAAGTTATTATTATTCGGTTTTAATAATTAGGACATTTATTTGTACAAAAAAAAATTATTATTTAGATTGTTCATTTGTACAAACTTTAAATATCTTAAAATTAAAAAAAAAAAAAATTTCTTAAAATTGAAAAAATATTGAATACCAAGACACAATTCGAACTCCCGAACTTAAGTTCTTTAGAACACATCCTTAACCGACGGCACCATCAATGCAATGTGCCCTATTAGTGGTAATGGCAGTGATGTACAGTCCTTGCTGAAGCCCCTGTTTTGTTTTGCAGGTGTAGAGGGAACCCTGGCGTCCAACTTAAAAAAGGGCAATGAACGTTTGTTGGAAATCACCTCTAGTTTATGTGTACAAAATTTCCTGCACATTTGTTAAAAAATGGTGACGCTGGATGCTTTTAAAGTTCAGGGTACAAGAACAAGAACAGCAGTGAGACTCTGGAGCCAGTGCCATGCGTGGACCAACAAATCTTTTAAGATTAAAGCTAGGACCTTGGGATGAGAACTTACTGAGAGATTGATTGCTGTTGGTTGGTCTTCACTCACTTTACCCTTGCAATGATGGAAGTACAAATTATACAAGCCTTCTTCCGTCTCATTGCTAATCTTCACACGAAACTGAAAGAAAAACAAATTAATGAAAAGTTTAAAAGAAAGTGTGTACTTTACTACTTACTTTACCAGGGGCCTAAAGATTATTATGTTTGAGTAAGCACACACAAGCTGTCATTAGTTTACAGTATGTTTACTAAGCTGTGCTGTTCTTTAATAATACAATTGTATTATTTAATGTGAATAAAGCATACCGTACACCAACAGCAAACTTATTTTCAATTCAATGGAATTAACAAAGAAAACATTTCTCTGCATTTATGTTTCATTCATGTTCACTGAGTTGTGTTATTGTGTTCTTATAAGAATATATTGACTAGATCACGGTTAGTCATTCTAAAGAAAGAACTAGGGTTCGAACATCCGACGATACAGAAGGCTTAAAAAATGGAACGTTTCCTGCACTCTTGTGAGCAAGCACAATTCTATGGAATTAACCCATTTGTGTAAATTAATGTGTGGATGTTTTACTAATGTGTTATTGTCTCCCTTAAGTTGGTTGGCCATGAATATTACACAGGCAGCAAAAATACAATTAGATTTATTAAGAAAGCCCATTAAACCAAATCTTCTCCCAACATACAACATAACTGTGTTTTTGTAAACATGAAACATGATACAAACAACATTTGGTTTAAGTTGCTTTATAAATGATAAATTGCAGCAATAAATATAATCAGTACTGTCTTAAAAAATGATCATTGTAAAGAAAAATTTAATTATTAAAGAAAGATTTTCTGGATTAAATCTGCTAAACTTGTTAGTAGTACTGTATACATTACATGATTCATTAGGTATAATATAAACATGATACAAACAACATTTGGTTTAAGTTGCTTTATAAATGATAAATTGCAGCAATAAATATAATCAGTACTGTCTTAAAAAATGATCATTGTAAAGAAAAATTTAATTATTAAAGAAAGATTTTCTGGATTAAATCTGCTAAACTTGTTAGTAGTACTGTATACATTACATGATTCATTAGGTATAATATATTTTTAATATAAAGTGCACAGAGTAGCTTAGTGAAAATGTCAGATCACCTATCAAACCTTTGTGTCCTTGTTTAATCATATCCTTAGGTAGCACCTTATTGAGGACCGGTCATAATCAGATTGATCTTTAACATTATTTATTCATAGGAGAGATTTTAAACTGACTCCTGACTGTTTTGGTACAGTACCGTATTTCCCCTTGAAAATGAAGAGTTGCTTCTCACAAGTGAAACTGGGTATTCTAATAACTTTGATCATACATACTTCCTTCTATTACTTACACACATGTTTACATTAGCAAGCCAGAAACTTCAACTGGTATACAATTTATTTTTTGTCTATCTACTTGTGTAAACAGCCAGGTTGTTTGATGTGTGTTAAGTTTGATGTGCGTTAATTTAATTACTTAATAATAATTTATATTTATATAATAAATTAAAATTGGTTAATATATATTTCAATTATTAAACCCATCAGTCATTATGTTGACTGTTTAATGCCAATATTGAGCAGGAAATGCTTATATATGTAATTTTAGCCCTTCAACATGTAGCCGTAATAAATTCAATATACAGAGTGCAGTTCACAGTTTTCTTCGCTAATGTCTCTATGTCCAACCTAATTAACTTTCCACACCGTATGCTTATCACACTACATAATTGATGTTTACAAGTTAGCAGAATTCATTTGTTGCATGTTATCTTCTTCCAGAGTCAAATAGCTGTTTGAATGAAACATTTGTTAATGAAACAAACATTTCTATGTATTTTTCATGATTTTTGTTCTTCCTGATGGTTGCATACTGAACAAAATATAGCAATATTGTTGTGAATGAGTATGCTGTACATTTTGTTGGCTCTTTATTAAAAGTTCTAGGCACCGAAGACACAAAACCCATATGTGACAAAAAACTAGGGAGTGGTTAATGAGATACAGATTTTTGAATACTTAAAAAATGAAAAAAAAAGGTGGAAAAATGGGTGGCTACACCCCCTTTCCCCCCATTTCAAAATATCCAAAAATCTGTATCTCATTAATCGCTTTTGAGTTTTTCAAGCAATATGTTTTTTGGATCTTAGGAAAATCAGTTGTACAACATATCAAGAAATTGTTTTTCCTCCGGAGACTGGCATTAACGTAGGCAAGCTGCTGATGACAAATGTATTAAATGTTTCTAAATGTATTACAGTAGGGATTTAATGGTTCTAAGTTTGACAAATTTCTTCTTTAAATTTATTAAAGGTTCTAAGTGTGATAACACTTGTCTTTAAATGCAATAAAGCACCAAAATGTTTGGAAAATGTCCTATAGTGTAATAAATTTTAGCCATAAATGTAATAAAGGTTTGGTGCAACAAGAAATCAAACACTCTGCATTTAATGATCATAAATTTCAAATCCCTCAACTGACACAAAGTGAAAGTAATTAAATGGAATTATATTTTTTGGATTGGGAGAACATTGTTATTATATTTTTTTAATTTACTGATATTGAAAAAAAGTATTTTAAATATGAAGTGAAGATGTTAGAATTATCATTATTTATTAAATAGTTGTATAATATTTCATAATAATATTTAATGAGATAAAGTGTATTGTCTACCTCAGTGGAGTAAGCATGTTTGCCTGGTGAGGTTAAAGGGACAGACGGTAAAAGACGAACAGTCCTCGCTTCTTTCTCATCTTCTAAATTCTCATTGTCTCTGCTTTTATTTGAAACATTACTAAAATCTTTGACACCTGGATTTACTGTATCATTTGCAGGAACAGTATCATCTAAGTCATTG